CAGTGCGGTCCAGTGCGGTGCAGTGCGGTCAGTGCTATCCAGTGAGGTGCAATGCGATGCAAGGCGGGGCAGGAAAGTGCAGGAGGGTGCAAAGTGGTGCGGGGAACGGGGGACAGTACCAGGAAGAATGGAGGGCCGGGGCAGGTGCGTCGGGGCCGGGCAGGCACGACAAGGCCGGGCGGCGGCGACGGGGCCGGGCGGCGGCGACGGGGCCGGGCGGCAGCGACAAGGCCGGGCGGCTGCGGCGGGGCCGGGCGGCTGCGACGGTGCCGGGTGGCTGCGACGGGGCCGGGCGGCAGGGACGAGGCCGGGCCGGACACAACAGGGCCGGGCAGGGGCGACGGGGCCGGGCGGTTGCGACGTGGCCGGGCGGCTGCGACGTGGCCGGGCGGCTGCGACGGGGCCGGGCGGCTGCGACGGGGCCGGGCGGCGGCGACGGGGCCGGGCGGCAGGGACGGGGCCCGGGCAGGCCACAGCAGGGCCGGGCAGGGGCGACGGGGCCGGGCGGGCGAGCAGGGGCCGGGCAGGTGCGACAGGGGCCGGGCGGGCGCCACGCGGCCGATAGGCCGCGACGGGGCCGAGCAGGGGCGACGGGGCCGAGCAGGGGCGACGGGGCCGAGCAGGGGCGACGGGGATGGGTAGGGGCGCGACGGGGCCTGGAGGGGCGTTACCAAGCCCAGGTAGGGGCGCGACGGGGCCTGGGGGGAGCGCAATGGGGCCCAGGAGGGGCGCTACGGGGCCTGGGAGGAGCGCGACTGGGCTAGGGAGGGGCGCGACGGGGCCTGGAAGGAGCGCAATGGGGCCCAGGAGGGGCGCTACGGGGCCTGGGAGGAGCGCGACGGGGCCCTGGAGGGGCGGTACCAGGCCCTGGAAGGGGCGCGACGGGGCCTGGAGGGGCGCTACGAAGCCCTGAAAGGGGCGCGACGGGGCCTGGAGGGGCGCTACGAAGCCCTGGAAGGGGCGCGACGGGGCCTGGGAGGAGCGCAATGGGGCCCAGGAGGGGCGCTACGGGGCCTGGGAGGAGCGCGACGGGGCCCTGGAGGGGCGCTACCAGGCCCTGGAAGGGGCGCGACGGGGCCTGGAGGGGCGCTACGAAGCCCTGAAAGGGGCGCGACGGGGCCTGGAGGAGCGCAATGGGGCCCAGGAGGGGCGCTACGAGGCCTGGGAGGAGCGCGACGGGGCCCAGAAAGGGGCGCAACGGGGCCCAGGAAGGGGCGCGACGGGGCTAGGGAGGGTCGCGACGGGGCTAGGGAGGGTCGCGACGGGGCTAGGAGCACGACGGGGCCCAGCTAGGGGGCGAGCGGAAGCGTGAGGGGGGGGGGGGGGGGGGGGGGGGATCCTACCTACGCGTGATACCATAACAAACAGTGAAATTGATAAATAGAGAGAGAGAGTACACAAACATATACCTAACTGTTGTACTCTCTAGAAGATGACCCTATACAGTCTATACAAGCATGATAACTAAACATGTTTGACATATAGCCCCCGTCTCACATTACAGAAACCCAACCTGTTATGAATGGGACTGCCGAGTAGTGTGGAGGGCAATGGCGAAACTGTGAACGAGTGAATGACAAAAACAATGAAAGACAACACAATATATAGAAAACCTAGGGCGATCCAGGACGTAGGATCGGAAGGTTCGGGAAAAGTGTCGAAGGGCATCAATGTGTCGAAGCGAGGTCCGTAAAGGCCCAGGAGGCTCGTGTTAGAAGGCTAGCTTAGCTAGAAAGCTAGGAAAGGCATGAGGTTTAGCTAGGAGGAGCCATGGAGTGGCGTGAGGTTTAGGAAGGAGAAAAGTTGAGAGAAAAGGGAGTTGGAATAGAAAGAGAGGCATACAAGGAGGGGATTGTACCCTCTACAGTAAAGTTCGGTAACCTACCAAGCCTAACAATTATATAACTAAATATATAATTTTTGTTGGAAATATCTCAAAGGACTTGAGCGTTTCTGAAGTGTAACACTACACTTGAGGAAAATTACAGGGCACGCGAGTCAACGGAGGTTACACGAGGGGCAGACAAAGAACGCGAAGGAACTCGAAAGGTCGCAACTGGAGGTTGCGACTGACAGGTACAACATCGCAGATGTTAACCGAAGCGGCAATCGAGTCGCCTGTGCGACTCGATAACCGCTCCTGAAACTGTATTCCACAACTGCTTTCTTATTTCCTATATATTGTTGTATGCTTGTTTCTTTAATCAATCACTTGTTCTCATATACTAGTACAAGGGTTCAACTGCCTCAACTTCCGCTGCACTACTCAAGTCTCATTTTACAACTGGGACTTAGTCTCTGGAAAGATCCCAAGGGCTTTTCTCAGCCCAACATGGTATGAGAGCTGGACAGAGACCAAACTCCCAGCAACTGCGCTCTATCAACAACCTACAACTCAATTCAACGACTTCATTGATTACAAGACATGGACAGCAAGGGCAAGAAAATCTCTACGGGCTCACCCAGCGGCCAAGAAACTCAACACGGCAACTCTGGATTGCACGCCTCAGGACTGCAGACAGAGACCGGGACTGCTCAAGAAACAACAGGAAGAGCACCAGAGATGGTAACTCCATCACCCTCTTCAAGCGTGGACCCCAACCTTATGGAAAGGTTCTTCAGTTTCATGTCGCACTTCGACCAGCAGCAGCAGACAAGGACACCTGCGCATTCAACACAGAGCAATGGAGGAAACATGGGATTAGCGCAGATGAGCCTCGACAATTCATCATTCGGGCGACACAATCAAGCGCCTTCCTTTGCGCCCTATCACTCTTCACCAGGGACGTTCGAGTTCATGCCGCCCCGTGCCCAACCAACAGCAGCTGCATCACAACAGACACCAAACGAGATTTTAAGCCTCCAGGCGCAGTTCTCACACGTGATTAAACTGCAGACATCCTCACCATTCAACGGACACGATTTCTTTACCTGGAGTTTCGAGTTCGAGCTGCTGATGGAGGCTGCGCATCTCCTGGGATACTTCAACGGGTCCCTGCCATTCCCAAGCAACGGCACTGGAAAGGAGCAAGAAATCTTCACGTATCAGTCGCTGCTGGCGTATACAGTTCTCCTGAGAAACCTGTCACCACAAGAACAGCAGAGCATCAGAACATACATGAGCTATGGCAACTCCGCAGAACTCGCATGGCATCACCTCAAGTGCCTCTATCAAGCAAACGACAGCGTGACACAAAGCAGACTCATGCAACAATTGACAACAATACAGATGAAGACCGGAGAAAAGGCGATGCAGTATATGAGTCGCTGCCAGACCCTCCGCGACCGCCTGCTTCGGTGCGGAGGAACAATCACTGAAGAGAGCTTCGTGACGCTTGTCCTCGCCGGGCTCGGGCCAGAATGGAGAACCACACGATCGCTTCTTCGCGCCCACGGAAGGATTTCGGAGATGCACCTCTGCGCCGAGCTTCACGCTGAACAACAGGAGATGGACGTGTTCGAAGAAAGACAACCAAGGAAGCAGCAGCAGTTAGTCTTCTACACTCAACGAAGGAACGACAACAACTACAATCGACGCGGCAAGCAAGATCAACGCGACAACAGAGGACTTACTTTCGTACCACCGTTCTGCCACAACTGCCAGACTTCCGGGCACTCCAAGGTCAACCGCACACGCCCTCGCGTTTATCGCCCAGTAGACCCACAAGTCGCTTCCACTCAAGAAAGTCCTCCAAGGCGCTCTTCAACATCTGCACAACAGACACCAAACATTATTAACTGCATGGTACACATCGACAACTGCACACCCGGATCACCACCCACTTACGCACCAGACGAAGAGGAGCTCCCACCACCGCGCTCACAAGGACTTCAAGTCAATCCAACATATGCTGCGGTCGCCAACGCCGAACCCACCGGGCGAAACACCTGGTTCTTGGACAGCTGCTGCGGTCAACACATGTGCTCTTCGGGACGCTTCGTGCAACAGGAGAAACGCCTCAACCGCGACGTCATCATCACCGTCGCCAACAACGAAAACCTGAAGACAAACAGACAAGGCGTGGTTTAGTTACAATCCATGGAGACGAACGTCATACTTCAGCTCAACAAAGTCCTCATTGTCGACAACCTGGGATACAACCTACTAAGCGTAAGCCAACTAATGGCCAAGGGGATTCACCTGGAGTGCGACTCTTACTCCAACGAGTTTCGACTTTACCACGGGAAGGGCGGTCTCTTCATAGGCCGTGCCCTCCTGAAGTCCGGCGTCTTCGTGTTGGACTTCGTCCCCGACCGCGGCACTGCCGACAGCGACGGCATCGTATCGTTTGCCGCATGGACACACCCGCCGGATCTTGATCCCGACTTCGACAGTGACGGATTCTGGCACTCCAACACCATACCTGCAGCAGAAAGAACACGAGCATTAGCAGTCATCAGACAAGAAAGACAAATACCCGCAAGTATCCCAACCAAACCATCACCTGCAGTACCAGCAGCAGGACCCAGCCGAGTCCCACCACCAGCGATCCGAGGACCGCCAACCGAAGCAGACCAGCTTTTGCCTGTCACACGAGAAGCCTGTCGCAGTCTCGCCACAGTCGCCGCGTTCTTCTCCAGCGCCGACATATACCACCGCTCACCCGGTCACTGACAAGAAGAGTTCCCTGTAACAGCAGCAGCTGGTACTGTAGCGGGATTTGTGGGCCTGATTGGTTAGGCGTCTGGCTGGGGGGAACTCTGGTCGTTGAACTGGTTCGGCACGGCTGAACCTGCTCCACTCTCATTTCAGGTGGAAGTGGTTCGGTTTGGCAGACGCTGACCTTCGTCTGCCTTGATGGCGGCAGGGGCTTGATTTTGTGAGCGAACCGAATAGGTAGGCTCGGCCACCGAAGTGCGCCTAGGCGTTCCACTGTGCTAGCCGGCAAGTGGCACGTGTCCTTTGCTCAACGATTGACTGGCGTCCTCTCGTTAGCCATGCATCGCTAAGCTCCAAAAGCAGAGCTGAGAAAGCATGGCTGTGCAAAAATTGCGACAAATACGATGTAACATAAGAATAGTTCTCAACAACTTTAATGAGCTCATAGTTTCATAAGAATCGCGATCTCCCTTAATGTGACCGCTGCCTACAAGTTTGGAGACCCCCTTTTCACGCCTTGAGGTCCATTCTGTGACAGATCACCACACATGCTCACTCCTCGCTCTCTTGTCAACTTGATGACTCTTCCATCACCTGCTGCCTACAAACCATTTACGTGCGGAGCTACTAACAGGAGGAATTACAGGTCCACCTGATGGAGGTGCATGGCTGGAATGCAGCTGTTGTGCCACGCCGAGGGCATGTGGTGCCTTCACTGCAGTGCTGCTGGCAGAATGAGGGACCACGTGCGGCATTGCACTAGGAGCAGGCACACCTGCAGGTGCAGTGGATCCCCCCATGACTCCCTGTCGTGTATTCATGACTGATGATGATGTCAGCACTCCTCCAACCTGTGCCTCTGCTGCCAACGCCGTACCACCGCCCACCCTCCCTGCTGGCCCTCCAGTCCGTTGCCCAGCCACTACTCCCACTCCTCCTGTCACTGCTGCCCCCCCTGCTCCTGACCCTCCTGCCACCACATCACCCCCATGTGCACCGGCACCGTCACCAGCAGCAGCAGCAGCCGCCGCCGCAGCAGCGGCTTTGGCCTCAAGCTTCCTCCGAGCAACCATGGCCGCCGCACTGCCTTTCCTGGGGCCTGCAACAAACATGCTACCAACCGGGCCTCGGGCGGGCAGCGGGGAGCCATAGCGCGACGGCGTGGTGGCCTTGTCAGGGGTGCCGGTGCTGGCAGGGCTGGCAGCGGTGGGGGACGCAGCTCCAGCGTGGATAGCCCGCACTGGGCTGCCAGTGGGGCTGAAGGGCGAGGGGCTGAAGGGCACGGGAGAGATGCAGCGGTTTGGGCTACCAATATGGCCTGCAGCAGCAGGGACGGGTGGTGCCGCTGTCCCTGGAGCAGGGTGTGCAGCAGGGGTGCATGAAGTGCTGCGGTTGGCAGGCATGCAGTTGGCTGGGCTGGGGCTTGCAGGGCTGCGGTTGGGGCCTGAGACGAAGGGCGTGGCTGCAGTGGTGGCGTGGGGGGAGGCTGCTCGTGGTGGACTGGGGTTGGGCCCGGCGATGAACGGCTGGCGATTCTCCTGCTGCAGCCATGGGCGATTGCGATATGGGCTCTGCTGCTGCTGCTGCTGCTGCTGCTGCTGCTGGTGAAGTGGCAGTGGCTGCACGTAATACTGTGCATGGAGGCCAGGCTGCTGGAGATTGCCAGTCCCAGCCTGATGCATGCTACCACACATGCTGCCAGCGTTCATGCCACCATGCATGCCTGCATGGTTCATGCCGCCATGCACACCGGAAGGATGCAAACCTGCATGCATCATGACTGGCTGTGGCTTGTGAGGCGAGTTGAGTGGAGAAATGGTCACGGCAGCATGCCTCGGACTCACAGGAGCATGAGAGGGTGCGGTGGTGCGTGTGGGGCCAAGGGGGGGAACAGGAGCTGCTGCAGAGGGATGCGCCGGACTGCGTGGAGCAAGGGAAGAGGGGCCGACTGTGGGGCTGAGCGGAGTGTTGTAGCAGGCTGCCAGGGGGTGGGTGGGGCTGGCATTGGGCGTGCCCCCCATGGCGAACTGTAGCACGTGGTAGGAGCGGGGCGAGGGGGGAGGAGAGAGAGATGCGGTACCCATGACAGGGAGGCGGGGAGAGGTGGGGTTTGATCTGGGAGGGGGGAGATAAGGGTTGGTTGCAGTGGCTGGAGTGACGAGAGAGCGAGGTGTGCGAGGGGAGAGAGGAGGGGTGGAGGTGCTAGTGGCAGCGCTGCTGTGGGTGAGTGAGGGGAGCGGATTGTGTAGGAAGGGATCGGAAGCTTGCTGTTGCATGTAGGCTGCTGCAGCATTCATAGTAGAGTATTTAGAGGTAGCAGCAGGAGCAATGCGTGTGCTCCCAGTAGCAGAAGCTGAGGAGGCAGCAGCAGGAGCAGCAGCAGGGACGCAGTGTGGTGCCGTGGGGCTGACCTGCCCTGCCATGGTCGCCTGCTGAAACAGCTTCCGCTCAAATGGCCGCACTGTCTCTGCTGGAACCATTCCATGCCCTGCCTGCACCTGCTGCTGCTGCTGCTGCTGCTGCTGCTGCTGCTGCTGCTGCTGCTGCTGCTGGGTCTGAGTCAGCATGTGCGCCTGTGTCGTGATATGACCTTGAGCAAGCGGCATCATGTTCTTCACCGGACTCGAGTTCCTCTCCCCAAACAGCGGCCTGCTGAATGGCTGATGCACCCCTCGCACACCACCCCCCACCGCCCCCTCCAGCTGCCCCCTCCTGTCCGCTGCATTCCTCTGCTGCATCTCCTCATCCCTCGCCCTTGCCTTTGCGGCCCACTCAGGGCCGAACGCAATCTCCTGCAGGAAGTGCTGCTGCTGCACCATGGGGGACTGCTGAGACTGCTGCGACTGGTGAGACGCTGGCACTGACGCCTGTTGACGCAGCCCCGCTCCTCTTCCTCCCCCGCCTTCCTTCCCTCTGCTGCTGCCAGAGCTGCTCCACTCCTCCCCTGCCTCTGACCCGCCTACACCGGACTCTGCTCCATTCGACCGTCCCGTCACCGCTGCCCCTGGCGCTGCCCTTGCTGCTGCCCCTGCTGCTGCTGGCACGCCAGAACCTTTGGCCCCCACAGCAGAGGCTCGCTTCAGGCCTCCAGCAGCTGCTGCTGCTGAGGCAGCGGCAGAAGGAGAAGCACCGCCTTTAGCTGCAGATGCAGCCGCTGATTGCCTACCCACTGGCGCGCCCTTACCTTCGTGCCTCTTCAATGCCATTCTCTGCCCTGCGACTGCGCTCCTCTGTGCGGCGCTGCCAGAATTCCTCGCATTGTTGGTGGGCCTCATGCCGGTGCTGTTGCGCACGCTGTTGCTCACAGCCATGCTGCACGATCCGCAACTCTCCTCCACCTCCACTGCTGCCTCTTTCTGTAGCCCCCCACCTGCCATCCCTGCCAGGCCTCCTGCGGCAACTCCTGCCACTCGTGGTGCACCAGAGGCTCCAGGCGGTCCAGGAGCAGCAGAAGCACCACCTTGGGGCTGCTCTTGCATCATGGGAGCAACAGCAGGGGCAGCAGGGGCGGCCGTTGGAGGAGGAGTGCCAGCCAGCGGTACTGTGGGTGCGGCAGCAGTAGGCTTTCTGGCGGAGAGCTTGAAGGGCAGACGAGGCATGGCAGGGACAGGCACTGCAAAGGGGTTGCTGCTCTCTCTAGCTCCAGAGACCGAGGGGTTCTGGGCCCCTCGTGCACCTGCATGGGGCTGCACAGACTGCACGTGGGGCGCTCCTGTGGGCGCCCCTGTGGGAGTGGGATGAGTGCGCTGCAGGACAGAGGACATCCGAACCTGCGCCTGTGCATCCCTATGGGAGGCCCTCGTAACAGTATGGCTGCCCCTGCAATCCATGTGACTGGACCTGCCGCCCATGGCTGTGCCCATTGCACTGCTCACCTGCCACTGGTGCGCTGCCATGCCCACACCACCTGCAGGATTACCCACTGCAGTTTTTTGGGCACCCACAGACTCAGCAGCAGCACCTGTGATTCCTGCACCCACTGCAATTGCAGATTCTTCTGCTGTGACTGTAGCAGGTGCTGTTCGGGTGGCAACGGCGGGATCAGCAACAATATCGCTAGCAGCGATAGCAGGGCCAGCACCAGCGCTAGCACAAGCAGAAGCAGCATTGCTGCCCTTGCTGGCTTCTTGCGTACGGGCGAGCACGCCATCGCAAGCAGACACGCCACCACAGGCAGACACGCCGTCGCACTCATGTTCAGCAAAAGCGTCTGAGCTCGGGTCACCATCACCGCTGCACCCACTCACTGCACAGGTCGCCTCCTCCTCCTCTTCCTCCTGCTTCTCCTCCTGCTTCTCCTCCTGCTTCTCCTCCTGCTTCTCCTCCTGCTGCTGCTGCTGCTGCTGCTGCCTCTCCACATCGAGACGCACCTCACCTCCCATCCCTGCCCCCGTCTGTGCGCCCATCCCCGCGTCCATCGCTGCCAGCGCCTCTGCCGCCATCTCTGCTGCCTGGGCGCGCTCCAGGGTGCGGCGGAGGGCGCCTCTTAGCCATGGGCGGTCAGGCAGGGGGATGGTGGGGGACGAGGGGCGACTGGCATGGGCGGAGCGAGCAGTGGGCGAGGAGGGGTGGGAGGAGGGGAGGGAGGAGGGGGGGAGGAGGGGCGAGTGGGGTCAGGGGAGGGAGGGCGGACGGGAAAGGAGGGAGAGACTGGGCGGTTTGGTACGAGGGAGGTGAGGAGGAGGGCGGGGGAGGAGGCAGAGGGAACAAGGCGGCGAGCAGGGTGGCGGAAGGGGCTGCCTTCTCCAGCTGCTGCGGCTGTTGTTGCTGTCACAGTGGCAGTGGTAGTGGCAGCGGCAGTGGCTGTAGCAGCAGTGGCTGTAGCGCCAATGGCTGCATCACCGTGAGGGGCAGTGGCAGCACTAGCAGTTTCGGCAGTGACAGCCGCAACAGCAGCAGCAGCAGCAGCAGTGGCTGCGGAGGTGGAGATAGCAGGAGCAGTGAGGAGGGGGTTGTCAAGCAGGCTGAGAGAGGGGCTGGTAGTGAACGGTCGGATGACATGCCGCCTTGATGCCACAGGGATCAACCTGCTGCTGCTGCTAGGGTGGCTGCAACTGAAGGCAACAGCCCCACAGGCAGCATCCCAGGTGCTGATATCCCCAATGACCTGTCCCTGTAGGTTCTTGCTCTTGCTCCAGTCAGCGTCACCACCATAACCAGCAATACCAGCACCAATATCGGCCGCAACATCAGCAGGGGGCATGCGCCCCTCCTCATGCCCCTGCCACGCCGGGTCAACCCCCAGAGCATGCCATACGTGGCCTGCTGCCTCCACTACTGCCTCTCCGCCCCTCTCGCGTGTCCCCGGTGAGCCGTGCAGTGCCAGTGCCGCACTGGCGCCATTCAAGCTCACTGCCTCGTGAGAGCATGCCTCCTGCACGCCTCCACACTCCACGCCCACGCACTCCTCAAGCACCTCGTCCGAGCTCGCAGGCTCATCCTCGCCTGTGCCACTGCTTCCCATTTCCTCTGCCGCACCCTCCTCGTCCTCTCTCTTGTGTGCCCCTCCCTTCTCCTCCGCATCTACTGCATTCTCCACGCCACGTGCATTGTCGCTATTGGCTGTTTCCTCATCCTTTCTCTCCTCCTCCTCACCTCGTTGCTCCTCGTCATCCCCTCCTAGCCCCAAATTCCCCGCCGCGCCTTCAACCTGGTAACCGCCAGCCTCTCCGCCAGTCTCCTTACCGCAAGCCTCTTGCCCAACCTCCTCCTGCCTTTCCTGCTCCTTTCCGGAGCCTGCAGACGCGGACAGACCCTGTGCGTCGCCCACTTGCACGGCCTCCCAGCACTGCAGGGAAACATTCACAAGGGCACCTGGTGCTACAGCAGGCACTGCGACAGCAGCAGGCGTTGAGCAGCGCGCGTCAGAGGTAGCCTCATCTGCTGCTGCTGCTGCTGCTATGAGTTTTCCCTCCGTGCCGCCTTCCCTTGCACTGCCCTCTCTGCCTCCCCAGCCAGCATAAGGGAGGCCGGAGAAAGCAGGGCGCGGGGGGGAGAGGAGGGAAGTGCAGAAGGAGGAGATGGCCGCTGGCGCAGAGTGGAGGCTGTGGGGATATAGAGAAAGTGAAGGAGAAGAGGAGGCAGTGCTCGGCACAGCAAGGCTCGTATCGCCATACTTACGCTGGCCACTCTCAGCGCTTCCACTCTCGTCCTCCCCTTCCTCCTCCACTCTCCGACCCTCCGTTTCACCGCTTGCCGCTCTGCCTTCTCTCAGCTGCCCCTCCCCCATAGCCACCCCTGCTTGCTCACCGCTCTCCACCGTATCCGCTCGCTTCTCCTCCCGCCCTTCTTCTCCATCTCTCTCTCTCTCCCCTCCCACCATTTCTATGAACACACGCTCCGCCTCATCCGCATCCTCCGCCTCATCCGCATCCTCCGCCATATCCTCTTGGTTCTCCCGCCTCTTATTGCTGTCAATCTCTGCGTCAAGCCACGACCAGTCAAACGATTTTTCCTCCCTGTCCTCCCCCGCCATCCCAGAGCCAGTGCTCAACTCCCCCTCACTGCCCTCACCCTCTCTCCCCCCCCTCTCACCTACACCTCCTCTCCCTCCCTCACTCCGGACATCCACACTCCCTCGCTCCCCTCCACTGCCACCACTCGCGGGCCCTCTCACCCACTGTCTACTGGCAGTGCCGAGCGGGCAAGCGGCGTCACTACCAGCACCCTCACCCTCTGCTGCCCCATTCCTCTCTCTGCCTCCATCGCCTGCGCTCTCCTCTCCCTCCGCCGCATTATCACTGCTACTGGCCATCGCGGCAGCCACTGCACGACTGCAGTTCTCGGTATAGTCTCGTTTGCCTTCGCCCCTATCAGAAGCAGCCGACTGATTGCTGCCTCCACCGCTTATCGCCCTCTCCCTTGGTGCCAGTACCTCCTCCGACGGCCTAGATTCTGCTGACCGCCTAGATTTGGCGGACAACTTAGATTCGGCTGACGGGCTGGATATAGCTGATGGCCTAGGTTCAGCTGACGACCGAAAGCTGGCTGATGGGCTCGATTCAGCTGACGGCCTAGATTGCTCAGACGGCCTAGATTGCTCAGACGGCCTAGATTCAGCTGACAGGCAGCATTCCTCGAGGTCGATCACATGGCTGGCAGGCCCTGTCGTGTGGCTCGCGCACGAGACTGAGTGGCTGACGGATGCTGAATGAGAGGTGGCGGTAACAGACGGAGAGGAGGAGGAAAGATGGGGTTCGGATATGGATGTGGATGCTGGTGGCGCAGGCACCGATGCAGCTGCACGGGAGGGAGATTGCCAAGGCGCTTGCAGAGGGCTGTTTTGAGCACTGGCAGCTGCAGCCGCACTGTCAGCTGGGCTGTGCTCTAGCTGGGCTCCTAGTGTCACGTCAGGGTCAGCATTCCGGACCTTATCCTTGCCGGCCGTGTTGCCATCCGACACACCCGCCCCGCCACCACCACTCCCTGCACCGGCAGCAGCAGGAGCAGCAGCAGCAGCAGCAGAATCAGCAGCTACAGATGGAGGAGGGGGATTATCCTTAGAAGCACCAGCAGAAAGGCCACAGGCAGCGGGAGCACTCCCAGAACCAGCGCCAGCGGCAGCAACCGCAGCCGCAGCAGCAGCATTGACGGAGGGCGGAGAAATGAGGGGGCGGGAGGCAGTGAGGAAGCGAGTGGGCTTCCGAACGCGAGGGGAAAGGCGGCGCTTGATGGAGGAGAGGCTGTTGGGCAGGGCGGGCACGGCGGGCAGCTGCATGGGCGGCTGCAGAGGGAGATACTCGTGCTGCTGCGGCCACCCCGCCATCACTGCCATTCCCCCCTGCTGCTGCTGCTGCTGCTGCTGCTGCTGCTGCTGCTCGTCCCTCGGCTGGCTGAATGGGGCGGCAGCGTTCAGTGGCTGCAGGTGGGCGGCAGGCTGGGAAGAGTCCAGCAGCGCGACGTGCTGCTGTGTCGGTTGGGACGCGTCTTGGTGGAGCGCGTGGTGTGGAGGGCAGGGCGAGGACGACGGGAGTGAGGGGAATGAGGGCGAATGCGTGGAGGGGACACTCACGGAGGTGGGGAAAAGAAGGGATGGAAGCCGTTCCAACTCCCCTTCCAACTCCTCCTCCAACTCCAACCTCTCATCGATCTCATCTGCTTCCTTGCCGAATGTCTCTTCCCCATTGCCCTCCTCATCCCCATCGCCTCCCCATTCCTCCTCTTCCTCATTGTCCTCCGCCAACACCAGCCATCTCATGCGCAAGCTTCCCCCGCCCACGCCCCCCCCTGCCCGCCTTCCCTTCCCTCCCCCTCCCCATTCTCCGCACATCCCCGTCCTTCCCCCGCGACACTCTCCGCCCACTCCTCTCCCCCTCCCCTGGCCCATGCGGAAGGCCCATTAACCCCCGAGGGAGCGGAATCCGTCCACCGCCTCCTGCTCCGTCTCCCGCTGCCAGCCTCCTCGTTACTGGCAGCAATCCCAGGATCCGCCACGTCAGCACCACTCACATTCAAATCCAGCTTCCCACAATCCATCTTCTCTTCCCTTAAGCATTCCCGCCCGCCCTCCGCTTCCCCCACTCTCCCTTCATCCTCCTCATCCACTCTCCCCCGCACCACCCTGCCGTCCGCAGCGGCAGAATCGCTGTCCACCAACCCCGAGGGGTCGTGGGGGTTGCTGCCTGTAACGGGGATGACGCTAGTAGCGGAATTGCTGGTGGGGGAGTCGCCGGTGCGGGAGTCGCTGGTGTCGTCCCCGGACGTGCTCGAGTCGATCATGGTGATGGAGTCGGCGGGCGTGGTGGGGCCGAGAGAGTCGCTACTGGAGGACCTACCGGACGGGGAGGAGGCGGAGGGGGGAAGTCAGACGACGCAACGGTAGGGGGAGCAGCGTGCGGAGCGTTGGTGCCTATCAGAGGCCCTTCTGCCTTGGCACTATTCGCCTTCGCGGCATGTGATTCTGCACGGATGGCCGCAGTGGTAGCCTCGGTCGCGGCAGCATCGGCTTCAGTCGCAGATTCGCCGCACTCGCGACTCATATCCGCAGGTCGTCCAGCGCCCATGCCCACGAGCTGCGAGTGAGCGCTCATAGCCATGAGCGACTCTAGATCCACAGGTGCGTCGCTCTTGTCCGCCTCGTCCGCATCATCGCCATACTTCTCACTCTGACTGTCACATTCCTCGTCGTCACCCTCGTGCTCTTCCACCTCCTCCTCATCGTCCTCGTCCCCGCTACAGCGCTCACCGACACTGTCGCCCCTGTCATGCTCATCACCACCCACCACTGCACTCTCTCCCTGCCCCATCCCATCACCGGCTTCGACGTCCCGCGTCTCCTTCCCTTCTGCTGAAACGCCGCCACTCTTCACCTCGCCTGGCCACCCCATTTCCTCCTGCTGCCTCATCTCTCCGGATCGGCTCAGCTGCACGAGGCTGGCGGCGTGCGCGGCGGGTTTCTCGGCGCCGTCCATGTCTCGGAGGAACGCCGCCAGAATCCGCCGCTTCGACTCCTCCACCTCCGGGCCCACGCGCTCCCTCTGCTTCCTCACCGCCCGGCTCCTCCCACTCACGCCCAGCGCGCCCCTCTCACTCGCGGTCAAGTCAGCTGCTGCCACGTGTCCTGCGCCTTCCTTTGTCGCACGTCCCTTGCGTTGCTCTACCACGTGTTCGTCACGCTTCTCCGCCACGTGTCCCTTCACCTCCTGAGCCACCTCCTCTGACCCCTCGCTTCCCCCACTGCCCCCAAAATGCATCGAGCTGGCGTACGTACCAGCAACCTCGCTATAAGCACGCGCGACTGCCTCTTTAACGGACGGATCCATCGTACGAACATACGGTACGGCTGGTTGTGCGGGGTGGGTGGTCGTCCTCCTGCCGCTGACATGCAGAGGCGGTCCTGCCGCCGCTGCTCCGCCTCCATCCCTCGTGTGCTCATTTTGCAACTCCTGATGTCGCTGTTGCTGCTGCTGCTGCGGCTGTTCCTGTGGCTTCTGCGAGTTCTCGTGTCGTCTCGCGGGGCTGCTGCGGCGAATCAGCCCTCCGAAGAGTCGAGAAGCGCGTGATTTCTCCTGCGCTTGGTTCGGATCCTTTCTCTGGCTCCGAATCTCGCTGCGGGGCTCGTCCTGACGACCGTTCTCGCAAACGACGCCATTGTCGGAAGGGGAAGGTTTTCCGCTGCACGGGGAGGTGGGTCAAACAAGAGATAGAGTTGGTGGACGCTGGACAGAAGAAGGAGGAATCGCAATGGCGAGGGAAGGAACGAGGGAAGTGCGTTGACCGGTGAATCTAGCAACCATTGCTGATGGGGGAACGGACGGGATGGGAAAATGGACCGACCTGCCTGGAGGACCCGATGCTGGTGAGGCGTGGAGGCGAGTCCTGATTCTAGCGACCAGCATAGATGTCTGCACAAGGCCGTACGATGCACGGGAAAGAGGAAAAGCACGGAGAAGAGAAGGACGAAGAGAAGAGGAGTGGAGGATTTAGAACGAAGAGAACGGAGATGGAGAATTCCTGATAACGAGCTAAGGGTGGCGGAATCATAGCGAGGATTGGAAGACGGCAATGACAAGAGGTCAATGACTTGATTGCCCTGCGCCTGATCTTCACATGACGCGCTCAAAGCGAGCAGCAGCCGTTGCTAGGCCAACGAATTGACGACCCACCGTCGCTGCTCGGCTGCTGACGCCGAGTTGGCGACACAGGCGCTTGATCTCCACGCGAGACTTGTCCTCTAGGTTATCCTGAAACCGCGTCGCCGATGCTGGATCCATGGCCGCATAAAAGGTTTCTGGAATGTAGATCCGATTGCTCTGGATAATCTGAATGAACGGATCGCGCTTTTTGGCTAAAAGTATGCGATCACATTCGAGATAACGGGCCCCAGCACATTTAGTCGTCAGCGGAACTAATCGCTGACTCGCTGCAGTCTAATCTGAATCGCCGACATTCGTCACTAACAGTGTCGGCCTAATGCAGGCAATTCGACCCATTCGTATAGGCTAACTAACGACCGAGCAACGACTCGTTGAATAGACATGGGCAATCCAGGACAGGTGTATGTCCTGAAACGGTGAAGGCAAGACCAAAGGAGAGAGACCTTGACCAGCACCCCCCAGAAACAGCTATAGAACTGAAAATCTGCTTCTATGCTTGCATCTGATGGTCTGTCCATGAGCCAGGAGCTGATGCCATGACCACGCTTATGCCATGAGCTGATGTTCCCGAATCCCAAGGAGCATCGCATGGCGAGGCGAAGCAGACGCCAGTGCCCCCAAAGCGCCTGAACAATGCTCAGGTGGTCCCTTCTCGCCCCGCTTCGCCTATCTCGGTCAGAATGAAGGGATCGGTGACATTGTGATCGTCGATTGAGCTTGAGCAGCTGTGATCTTGCGGTAGAAAGTGCGGGAAACCACGAGGGCTGTGTCGCCAGAGGGCTCCACATCGCTCACCAATCGTCAGAGCACCGTTCGCGAACCGCGCTTTCTGGTATCCCGCCAATACCCTTCAAGCAAGCGGTGCCTCCCCCTGAAGAATTTCACTATTTCACATGCACAGTTGACCATAGCAGCTTGTACAAGGTGTCCTCTATGATGAGGCATTCCTTTTATGCTTTCTCAACAATTCCCCCATATAGAAGGATAAAAGAGAATCATAGATTCGTAATGCACATCCAAATTCATAAAAAAATTTACCCCGTTGTGGTAAAATCGTACTTAAGCATTTCTTTAAGTAGTTCCGATAGATATTGTCGAGTTACACTGTAGTTAGCATCCGTAGAATGACGTCAGCAAATAGCGCTCGTCTGGATGATTACGTCAGCAAGCCGTTTCAGTCACACGAACAGTCGCGCTCTTTTCGGTAGCGGTTAGAGCGCATAGCGCAAATAGCTCGAACAGGTACATCACCGAATAGGTACTTCTAGCAGATATAAAAGTAGCTTGTACAACTTTAATTATCAACTTGTTCTTCAGAAAATTCTGGTCGACACTTAACAAGTGTTGGAAATATCTCAAAGGACTTAAGCGTTTCTGAAGTGTAACACTACACTCGAGGAAGATCGCAACGGGTACGCGAGTCAACGGAGGTTACACGAGGGATGGGCAAAGAACGCGAAGGGACTTGAAGAGTCGCAACTGGAGGTTGCGACCGACCGTTACAACAGCGCGGATGGTAACCGAAGCGACAATCGAGTCGCTGTGCGACTCGATAACCGCTCCTGCAACTGTATTCTACAACTGCTTTACTTTCCTATTTTCTATATATTGCTGTATGCTTGTCTCTTTAATCAATCACTTGTTCTCATATACTAGTACAAGGGTTCAACTACCTCAACTTCCGCTGCACTACTCAAGTCTTATTCTTCAACTGGGACTTAGTCTCTGAAAGATCCTAAGGGCATTTATCAGCCCAACATGGTATGAGAGCTGGTCAGAGACCAAACTCCCAGCAACTACGCTCTATCTACAATCTGCAATTCAACGACTTCATTGATTACAAGCCATGGACAGCAAGGGCAAGAAAATCTCTACGGGCTCACCCAGCACCCAAGACATTCAACCCGGCAACTCTGGATTGCATACTTCAGGACTGCAAACCGAGACCGGCGCTGCTCAAGAAACAACAGGAAGAACACCGGAAATGGTGACCCCATCACCCTCTTCAAGCGTGGATCCGAATCTTATGGAAAGGTTCTTCAGCTTCATGTCGCACTTCGAGCAGCAGCAGCAGACAAGGACACCTGCGCATTCAACACAGAGCAACGGAGGAAACATGGGATTAGCGCCGATGAGCCTCGACAATTCATCGTTCGGGCCGACACAATCAAGCGCCTACCTGTCACAGGATCGAATGTGTCGAGGAAAGGTTGCACTATCGATCAGTACAAGGCGCTTTTATACTTCCAGAGTACATCAGGTAACCAGGTTTATCTTATCCTAAGGGAATAGACCCTTCTAGAAGATAGAATCACCCTGCGTATAGCCACGCGAGGCTATTGGCTTTAAGGGATTACGGCAGGATTACGCTAGATAGAGCGCACCAATACATCCCAAGCCTGGTCGGTGATATAATGATAATAGCAGGATAAACCAAAGGTTAATGGAAAAGGAAGAATAGGAAACCAAATGAGATGCGGTAAAAAGAGAAATGAAAAGGGAAGGAAATAAGAAAAGGCCAAGTGGTGTAACGGGGTCGTACTCTCACACTTCCCCCCCTCAAAGCTGGGTGGTAGAAATAACACCCTGCTTGACAAGGTAGTCATGCAGAGGACGACGGGCGTTACCCATGTCGGACTCAGGTACCCAGCTGTCCTCAGAAGGATCATAACCCTTCCAACGGATGAGAAGCTCCACGGTGCCATTCCGACGACGGCGGTGTGCGAGCACGGACTCGACCTCGTACTCGGGTTCATTCTGGACGAGGACGGGCGGTGGCGGCGGCGGTTGGCGTCCGACGAAAATTGTGTTCGGGTCCCGATAGGGCTTCAGAAGTTGGACGTGGAAGGCATTGTGAATCTTCCAGGTAGCTGGCAGGCGCAAGCGGAAGGTAACAGGAGTGACTTGTGCTTCAACGAGAAAAGGCCCGCAGAAGCGAGGTCGAAGTTTAGATGGGAGGTGGCTGATGTCCAGGTTGCGGGTGTCAAGAAGCACCTGGTCTCCCACCGTGATGGTGTGGTCGTTGCGATGGCGATCGGCCTGGCGCTTTTGTTGCTGTTGAATGTCAAGGAGGCGCTTGTGGGTCCGATCCCAAAGTTGATGCATGGTTGTAATGAAATCATGTGCTGGTTGGACTGTAGCTGATGCTGTCGGTTTTTGTGGTGTGAGTGGGTGGCGTCCGTAGCAGAGGAAGAACGGCGTCTGTCCAGTAGCGGCATGTGTGGCGTTGTTGTAAGCAAACTCGAGAACGGGCAGGTGCAAGTCCCATTTGGAGATGTCGTCCTTGCAGGCTGCTCGGAGGAGTTGCTCAACAATTTGGTTGAGGCGCTCGGTCTGTCCGTCTGTCTGCGGATGGTATGCGGATGACATGGCGAGTTTGGTCCCGAGAAGAGACATAAGTTCCTTCCAGAACTTGCTGGTGAACTTGGGGTCTCGGTCGGAAATGAGTGTGGTTGGGATGCCATGCTGTGAGATGATGTGACGAACGAAGAGCTGTGCTGTCTCCTCGGTGCGTGCCGTCGTGTGTGTCGGGATGAAGTGTCCCATTTTGGAGAACTTGTCAATGACGACAAGGATGGCGTCATGACTGCTGGAGGTAGGTGGTAACCCGGTGATGAAGTCGAGGCTAACCACTTGCCATGGCTGTTCTGGGACAGGAAGAGGCTGCAGTAGTCCCGCCTTTTTCTGCTTGCTGCTCTTCATCCGCTGACATGTATCACACGAGGTGACGAATTTCTGGACATCTTCTGCCTAAGTGGGGGCCAGTAGTAGTGCTTTGCGATACCGGTCAGCGTCTTGTTGCTACCGAAGTGTCCGGCGTAGAGGACGTCGTGGTATTCTTCGAGTAGTAACTGGCGCAAAGGAGGGTAATTGGGGTACCCAGATTTTCGTTGATCCTTTCCGGTACGCGATGTCACTGTCCCACTGTAGCAGATGTCGCTTTTCTGCCAAGGGAATTTCGGGGTCGATGGCGTACCCGTGTGTGAAGAGTCCCTTGAGTAGTGGATTCATCCCTTCGACCTGAATCGCGGCAACGTGTGCAGGCCGGCTGAGAGCGTCTGCTTTGTTCTTGTGGCCGGGCTTGTACACGATGTCGTAGTGGAAGTGTGTCTCGAGGAAGTCGATCCACCGGACCTGCCGCCTGGAAAGGTTGGGTTGTGTCTTCAAGTATTTCAGGCTGCAGTGGTCGGTGTAGACGGTTGTTCTTCGTCCTTCGAGATAGCATCTCCACGCTTTGAAGGCGATGATGATAGCAAGAGCCTCTTTGTCGTTGTATCGGGTAGTTGAGTTCTGCCCCGTGCAGTTTCTTGCTGAGGTAGGCAATTGGTTGCAGTCCATTCCCTGGTCTTGCATCAAGACTGCACCCACGGCCTGATCACTGGCGTCTGCTTCAATGACGTAGTCACGTTCGGGATCTGGCAAGATGAGTACCGGTGCGGATGTCAGTGCTTGTTTCAGCTGCTCCACGGCTTCCTGGTGCTTTGGTCTCCCATTTGTAGGGCGTGTTCTTCTTCAGCAGATTCGTGAGTGGTGCCGCGAGTTTCGCATACTGTGGCACGAACCTGTTGTAGTAATTAGCGAAGCCTAGGAACTGCTGCAACTCCTTCACGTTCTCGGGTGGTCTTCCACGTACGTACGGCTTCGATTTTCTTGGGGTCGACGTGAACTCCTTGAGCGCTCACCATGTGTCCTAGGAATTGGACCTTTTCAAGGGCGAATTCGCTCTTGGACAGTTTGACGTAGAATCGTTCCCGTCGAAGAATTTCGAAGACGCGTCGCAGGTGTTCGACGTGCTGCTTCATGTCGGCGCGAGTAGATGAGTATGTCGTCCAGGTACACCACCACGCATTCGTCCCAGAAGTGGTCGTAGGAATGTGGTTCATTTCGGCTTGGAACGTTGGCCGGCGCGTTGGTGAGTCCGAACGGCATGACCAAATACTCGTACGATCCGTACCGAGTTCGAAAAGCAGTTTTGTGGAGTAGAGTTGTCCGCCATCCGTATCTGCCAGTATCCGGACCGCAGATCCAGTTTGGAAAATACCGTAGCTCCCCGAAGCTGGTTCAAGCAGGTCATCGATTCGCGGTATCGGATATTTATTCTTGATGGTCTGCTTGTTAAGAGCTCGGTAGTCGATGCACATGCGCAGGCTTCCGTCCTGGTTTCGGTGTGAAGAGTACTGGGGCACCGTACGGCGAAGTGGATGGCCGGATGAGTCCTTTGGCTAGGAGATACTCGATCTGTTTTTTCATGTCGTCAGCTCCGTAGGGCTGAGCCGATATGGTGCTCGGAAGGTCGGCTTCGAACCCCGGTTCCTCCACGATCTCGTGTTGATGCGTTCGGGTATGGCGGTAGCTCGTTCGGAAGATCGTCAGGAAGAATGTCTTGGAACTCCTTCAGTAATTCCTTGATTTTTTCTGGAGTTTCCGAGGCTTTCTCTCCGTTCATTCTCCACCTCCTGTTGCTATCCGCCAGGAACCCGGTGTCGGTCG